CCCGACGCCCGCGCCCGCGCCCGCGCCCGCGCCCGCGGCGAAGAAGGTCGTCGCGCCCGCGGTCGCCGACCCCGCCGCGCCCGTCCTCACGGCCAAGCCCGGCGCCAACCTCGGCGTCAAGAAGGCGACCTCCAACGCGAACGAGGCCGCGAACACCGGCGGCGCCGCCAAGGCGACGTCGCTCAACGTGGAGAAGATCTCCGACGACAGCATCGCGGCCGCGCTCTCCAAGCGCAAGGTCAAGAACTAGGCGCGCGCGCCGCGACGCGCGGCGGCGCGGGTTAACGACCACCGTGGGACTGGCGGCCTCCGTGCTGCTCGCGGCACTCGTCGTAGGGCATTTCCTATGCCCATTTCCCGCTCACTTCAACATCGAACGTTGAAGCTCGGCACAGCTCGGCCATCGGGCAGCCTTCATGATGGAGAGGCCGTTTCGGTGATTCTCCTCGCGAGTGACTGCTCCTCGCGAGTACACGGCAGCGTTCATCATGGCGCCGTTCGTCGGGCGGCGCGGCCACGCGTACACGGCCCACGAGCTCGCGATCCTGAGCACGTTCCATTCGAAGGTGGATTCCATCGATCTCGACGGCGCCATGGACGCCTTCGCGATCTTAGACGCGGACGGCTCCGGGCGGATCGAGTTCCACGAGATGGTGCGGCGGTTCCGCGCGCCGGAGGTCGTCGCGTTCGTCGAGGCGTCGAAGAACAAGACGCTCCGCCAGCTGCTCCGCGAGGACGAGCGCCGCCTCGAGCGGTGCTTCCGTGCGCTCGACGCCGACGGCAGCGGCGGCATCGAGCGAAGCGAGTGGGAGGCCTACGTGACGGCGATGGCGCGCGAGCGCGTGAGATACTTGAAGACTCGTGGCCTCGTGGAGCGGCGGTGCTACTGGGGGCGGCGCTTCGACGGCGAGCGGCGCACGTGCCTCGAGCGCGCGTACCGCGCCCTGCTCTGCTGCTGGCCCCTGCTCCTCTGCGCGCGGCCGCCGAAGGGCTTCGTCGAGGACCTCGCGTACTTCACGGAGCAGAACCACCCGCTCCTCGCCGTTTTCCGCCGCGACCTCGACCACCCGTACTCGCGGCGCGAGCAGGTCGTGGCCCTCATCGTGCTCAACGCCTGGGCGCTCTTCTTCAGCGTCCTCCTGGCCAAGGGCGAGCGCGCGGACGCCACGCCCGTGGAGGGCGCGCTCATGTCGCTGGTGGCGATCACGATGCCCGTGCTCGTGCTCGACTCGGTGCTCTTCTACCTCCTCGCGTGCCCCTGCGTCCGCTTCGAGCGGCGCGGCCGGCGGCGCGAGGGCTGCTTCGCGTGCTGCGAATGGCTCGCGACGTGCCTCGGCCACGTCCTCGCGGCGCCCCTGCTGCTCCTCGCCGGGGTGCTGCTGTGGCTCTCCTGCGAGGCGCTCGCCCGCGGACGCTACGGCGACGACGACGACAACGCGATCCGGTCCGACCCCGTCGTCCGGAGCTTCGTCGTCGGCATCGTCGGGAGCTACGCGCTCTGGCCCGTGAAGACGCTCTTCAAGGAGTTCTCGCTCCAGTGGGAGGGCCGGAGCGCGTGCTTCCACTGCGCCGTCGGCTGCTGCGGCGCGGCGCGGCTCCTCGGCTTCGGCCAGTGGGCGAGGGAGCGGTCCAGGGCCCTCGCCGCCGCGCTGGCCGACGAGGAGGCGGGCTTGAAGGAGCCGACGCCCGTGATCTAAGGTTACTACTTCTTCTTCTTCCGCGGCTTCTTCTTCTTCCCGGCGGCGGCGCCGGGCGCCGCGCCGACGCCGAGCGCCGCGAGCTTGGCGGCGACGGAGTCCGCGTTCGCCGGCTCGAGCGCGAGCGCGGCCCTGAGGTCGAGGGCCGCGCCCGGCGCGTCGCCACCGGCCTCGCGGGCCGCGGCGCGGCGCAGGAGCGCCTTGAGCGACGGCGGCTCGCCGAGGCCCGCGTCGACGGCGAGCGCCGCCGTGCAGTCGGCGGCGACGTCGTCCCAGAACTCGAGCTTCTCCGCCGCGGCCGCGCGGTTCCGCAGCACGGCGGCGCACGCGGGCCAGGCCTCGAGCGCCGCGTCGTAGGCGCGCCGCGCGGCGACGTAGTCCTGCTCGCGGAACTTGGCGTCGCCCGCGGCCTTGTGGCCCGCGGCGACCGCGAGCGCGTCCCGGTCGGCCGCGGCGGTCGCGGCCTCGGCCGCGCCCGCGAGGTCGCCGCGCGCGGCTAAAACCCGCGCCTCCCGGTCGCCCGGCGGCGGCGGCGGCGCGGCCGCGGCCGCGGGCGCGGGCGCGGCCGCGCGCCGCGCGGCCTCGGCCTCGCGCGTCTCCGCGAAGTCGGGGAAGAGCTCGACGAATTCGGCGCGCGACGCGTTCCACGCGGCCGACGCGGCGGCGAGCGCGCGCCGGTCGCCGGCGCTCGCCTCGACGGCGCCCGTCGTGACCTCGTCGCCGAGCATGAAGCTCAGCACGCCCTTCAAGATCGTCGAGACCGACCAGCTCGGGTTCCACGACTCGGGGTGGTAGTCGGACATGGACATGCAGATCTTGTGGTCGACCTGGAAGCGGCCCGACGGCGTGCACATGATGATCGACGGCGGCGCGAAGGGGTAGCCCGCGGGGAACGTGAGCCGCCCCCAGTACCAGCCGCCGCCGTAGACGCTGTCCGACGGCGGCGCGAGCAAAAAGCTCCAGAGCAGGATGTTGCTCTCCTTGTGCGTCGCCCAGATGAACTCGGGCTTCTCCTTGTGCAGCGCCGCGAGCTCCTTGCGCAGCCGGTAGGCCGCGCCCTTCTTCCCGCCGGAGGCCATTGGCGCTGAAGGGGTCGCCGAGCGAGTCACTGGGACGCCATCGCTNTGCTTCGTTTTGCCGATGTTGCCTGGGATGTTGCACTTGGACCGGTACTCTCGCAAGGGGATATAAATCTAGATGGGGTGGCAGGCGAAACGCGAGGTCCTCGTACTACTCGGGGCCGCCGCTAGCGTTTTCTTTCTTCTTCCACGCCGCAGCGCGCGGGCTGAGTGCAACGATGGCGGGTCGCGCGGCGCGGCGCGGCTGCGGAACCCTTCGACGGGGCGGGGCAGCGAATTTGGGCTGCTGAGATCATTGCGTTGGCTCGCGAGCGCGACGGTTGTTCGGCGGCGGGACGAGAGGGCGGCGGTGTGAGTCGAGTGTGCGATATTTTCTTGTCCTTAGAGGTTGGAGGCGCCCTATGGGTACCCGCGGGGGGCTCGAAACCTTCAGGACACACTTTTCCCACGATCTCAGAGCCTGCGCAGCCCCGGCGCCGACGGTGTCGCAACACAGTTTCTCGGGCAGCGTGCGGGCATTCGAGGTCGAGAACTTTTCGTGTCCTGAGATGCTCGAGCCCATCCATAGGTACCAACGAAGGGCTCTGCAGCGCCAGCAGACGGTCCACGACCATCATCATCGCGAACACGTCCAAGAGCTGCCCCAAAACCCCCTTCCTCGCGTGGCGCCAAACCGGACACGGTGCCCTCCAGCGCGCCTCGGTTTCCTTCCACCGGACCCGAACCGCCCGGACGCGTAAGTCTTGTCGCGGGCGCCTTCGCGGGGGAGCGAATACCGCTGCGGTCCGTCTGGGGCCGCGTCG